ACAAAATCACACATGTGTCCACCTCAGGAGGTGTGAGACCAACTTTAAATATCTTCTTTCTCTAACCTCAATCCACCAAATATGTTGAGACAAGGTCTCTGGCTGCATCTGAACCTCGCTGATCCTGTTAGATCCGGCGGTTGTCGAGTGCATGCATGGGATCTATGCCCTCACTCCCAGCACTGGCATGCTCAGCATATGCTGTCACCTCAGCTCTTACACGAGTATCCTAACTCAGGTTCCCATGCTTGTGTTACAAGGACCTTTTGCACTGAGCCATCTCCATTGCCCACAGCTTAGACCTGACAGGCTCCCCAGTCTCCTGTTTCCACTCACGCCATCAGTATTCACCCCACAGTGTATGGACAACAGGTTTTGTGCCTGCTCTCCCTTGCTGTTGGCGCTGCACCATTCAACAATCTGGTGTTAACAAAAAATATTAAAACTAGCTGTCTTACATTCTTGGTTCTTGTTCATAATGTTGCATAATGAAAAGGAAAATCTTTCCCACAGTCCCAGTGGTGCAGAAACATTTAGAAATGACTCTAAATATAGCCTCCCAGATGACAAGAGAGGTTGTTTTATGTCATTCTGTGATTCCTTTTTCACAGCATGTTCTATGTGCCGGAATAAAAAAAAAAATAACAAAATCAGAATGCTAAATTTAAAGGCACCTTTGCCCTTTGCTGGTTGACAAACACATTTTGTTGCCATTTCATTTGCTGTGCATCTTGGCATCAGATGCTAAGCAACAACAAAACAAAAAACAGGAAGCAGTGCCCCCTGAGTATGCCAGACTCTATCCTCCGTCGTAGCTCTGCTAACCTGTTAGCTATTGACTTCCAGCAATAGAAAATGCAGTAAAAAGAGTCACAACCATTCCTTCAATTGGACTTAGGTACTTGGCAAGAGAAGACTGAAGGGATCCAGTATTTTATATAACGTAATTACTAATCCCAGGTGACACGCAATAAGCTCCCAAATAGCGTCAGAATACTGATTTAGTTAAGGAGAGTAAATTGTAACTGCAAGCTGTTCATCCCTACGCTGGAAAACACACACACACACTCTAAAAATATATGGAGTTTTTTTACAACTAAATGACCTAGGATTATTCTGATCTGTAGTTGGACAGTCACCTGCTACACTGTGGGGTCTGTGTGCATTCTCCCAAAAGCACACAAGGAACTCAGTTGTTAACCTACACAGTGGCTATCTCCTCTTTCTTCATATCACAAAGAACCTCAATTTTGTTTGGATCTCACCCCAACACACAAACCCACAATTTATCCATCTCACACTTCCATAGCTGACTCGGCAAAGCTGGATACTCTTATCTGGAGAAGTCTCATGAAGTTATAATTGGATAGCAGCCAGAGCTGGGTCATCCAAAGCTTCCTTAAAGTTCCTCATTCCCAAGTCTGGGCCCTCAGCTATCATGGCAGCTGCAATTGAGAACCACTGACCAAGCATCCCTCTCTCTTCCTCTCCCATCAGTTCTACCATGAGTCCATCTTGGGCTTCCTTACAGTCAGTTGTGTATGGCAGATGCTTCTTACAGGATGCACAGGCAGAACTATAAAGCTATCACCAATTCCCAAGTGCCACAGAACACTACATCTTCTGAGTGATCTAGCAGCAATTGAGACCTTCCAGGAAGAGACCACCAGGTTGCTGTCAATGGGAGGAGGCATTTCCTTTAGACCATCTGATTTTCTCCTGGACTGGAGGGGCACATTGGGCTCTCCTTATAGTGAATATGGAAGAGTGAGTACCATGGTAGGTTCCCCTTCATCTTTAGAGAACCAGCCTACCTACCAGGTGGGTTCTGGGGATGGAACTCGGGTGGTCAAGCCTGGAAAGCACCTTTATCTACAAAGCCTGCTCCACAGTCCAGAAATATATTGTTATAGCTAAGGCCTGGAAATCACTAGCCAAAGAGATGATTGACTTTCTGATAACTCCCTACTGCCCTCTTCTCGTTCAGACCATAAAGGCCATTTCTCATTTCTAAAACACAATCCCTTAACTGAGGAAGTATCTAGAATGGAGAATAGTGGGCAGTCTTAATCTTCATAGACTGGGATCATGTCAGATTAAGACGATGAGACCCTGGGAATGTATGGAATAGGAAGCTGGAGAGAAAAGGAGAGGGAGACAGAGTAAGAGAGGGGCTGAGTAGTTGAGAAGGTGTGGTTATTCCTCCCAGCAGAGTGGGAGCCAATGCATAACCTCCAAGGACTAGGGCAGAGTCAAGCCCTTGATAAATCTCAAAGTAGATTACAAGGACAGAGAAGCCACTCCTTAATTTCTACCTCAAAATGTACTTTGTAAAGGTGGGGCTGGATTGCTAGAGCCTGATGGAACGGATGGGTAAACATTTTTTGTGATCCTATTGTGCTCTACAAGTTCTATAGGCTGGATGTGTTCCCAGAGTTAGACTGTTGGGAACTTTATCCCCAGTGTGACAGTGGGAAGAGGAACCTGCCTTCATAAATGGGTTGATGCTGTTACTGAGGGAGTGGGAACATAATAAAAGATGACTCTGCCTTCCCCTCCCTCCCACTGCTCTTCCTCCACATGGTTTTGACCCTGTCCCTCCATTTTGGATAGCTCAGCCTATCATAAGCCCAATAAATTTCTTCATTATCTGTTTCCCCACCTAAAATCTTGTGTTACGGAGGCAATATGCTGATACAACATGCTAGGCCCTTCTGCCCCGGACAGACCTGCCCACATTTTCAAGAGAATGAGGTCTGTACTTCCTTTTAGTTACTGAAGAAGCTACTTGTTCTTGAATATACTTTGATAAAATTAAGAAAGACATGAAGAAGTTCCCAAGAACTCTTTAGTGATAGGGAAGTTTGATAAGAGGCTAAGGTGTGCATGGAATAGAAAATTTAGAAGTTAGGAACAAGAGGCTGATGAGATATTGCCATGGAGCAGAGCATTACTCAGTCTTCGTCAGAGAAGCTTCTTCTCCTTACAGTGGATGAGACAAAGAGTTCTACAACTGGACAATGTGCAGAGAGCTGCAGACAACCCTAAAAGGGATGTCTCTATCAAACCTGTCCCCTCAAGCTCAGCACTCTACTTGGAAGAAGAAGGGGAAAGATCACAAAAGCCAGATGTGGTAAGTGACTAGCAGGAAGCAGCAGCTTCCAGACACAGCAGGGCTGATACACACATGACCTGACAGAGACTGTGACAGTACGAATGCACATCTGTCCAGGTCAATCTGGACAAATGTCTCAGCATGGAGAAGAGGAAGCAGATACAAAGTCTCACTCCTAACCAAGAAGCTATTTGTGATGGATACCTGCTGGGAAACCAGTTTTCTTCCATGGAGTACCACAGAGAATGTCTACCACACTTCAGGGCAGGCCCATACTCTGGTGTGGCTGGGCAACACAAAATAGACCCTATGCTTCTTTGTGTGCTTTTTATTTTGTTTTATTTTAATATTGTTTGTCCTATTTGATTTTCCTTCTTTGTAGTTTGTTTTGATTTTTTTTTTAAAGAGAAAGAACATGAAGTTGGGTGGGTAAAGATGTGGGGAGGGTCTGGGAAGAGTTCGGGGAGGGGAAGAATATGATCAAAATACATTGTATGAAAAAGATCGCTTTAATTAAATTAATTTTTTCAACACAGTATTTTTGTTGATTCTTTGGGGAATTTTCACATTGTGGTGGTTTGAATGAACATGCTTGGCCCAGGGAGTGGCACTATGAGGAGGTGTGGCCTTGTTGGAGGCAGTGTGTCACTATGGGGGTGGGCTTTGAGAGACCTTCCTCCTAGCCACCTGGAATTCAGTCTTCTCCTTCAGATGAAGATGTAGAACTCTCAGCTTCTCCCACACCATGCCTGCCTGGATGCTGCCATGCTCCTGCCTTGATGATAATGGACTGAATCTCTGAACCTGTAAGCCAGGCTCAACTAAATGTTGTCCTTATAAGAGTTGTCTTGGTTATGGTGTCTCTTCACAGCAATGGAAACCCTAACTAAGCACATGCCATACACCCTATTACACTCATTTCTGAGTCTTTGCATGTCTGTCCCCACCATTGTGATCCCCCCCAAATTAAAGATCAAAACTAGAGATAGAAAAAAATTGTGTTATCTATATACTCATTGGAACATGGTCAAATTCTCAGTGGCCTGACCTTTAAATAGAACTGTTTCCCTTCCTCACCAGAAGAAGCCATCAATTATGGAGAGTTAACTTAAACACCCTTATACTTTTTAAGAGTTCTCTTAGGTGGCTTCCTGTTTAGGCTGCTATTGTTTTGGGGGTGGGGGTAGGACTTGCCACAGAAGACTTCTATATCCTTTAATAATTGATATCATGCATAATAATAATTGATATCATTGGAAAAGTAGCTTCCTTGCTCTTTACAGCTAGTGAGAGTGTGGACTGTAGGTTTCCACGTGGTTTCTGGTAACAGCACAGACTGTGAACATGCCTACTGGCTGCAGTAGGATCATGAACCATAAACATTACCATGCCCTCAGATGGCAGCACAGGCCACCCACATCAGCCTGGTCCTCACTAACACTGTCTCCAGTTCTGCCTCTCTCCACAGTGCATGTACTGCTGTTTTCCTGTCTTTTCCATCTCCTCATCACATATTTTTTTCATTGTAGTGGTGCCCAGGCTCTTCCCTTGGTGCAAGACGGGGCGGCCTTTATTTTTTTTTTTTTAAGGTTTTTGACACTAGGTTTCTCTGTGGAACCCTGGCTGTCCTGGAACTTGTATGAGGGCCAGGCTGGTCTCAAATTCAGAGATGCACCTGTCTCTGCCTCCCAAGTGCTGGGATTCAATAAATGTGTTTGCCACCATGCCCCAGCTAAATTAAAAAATTTTTAAGACAGTTGGGATATAAAGTCTGCCTGGTGGAAGAGTGGTCATCATTGGCCTCATCCCTATGGGAACCCGTGTGCCTGGACTTCTTCTTGTAGTTGAGTAGCATCAGATTTCATCCATGTGACAGACACCTGGAACCATTTAAAGAAGGCAAGCTTTATTGTTGGGTTGAGATTTCAGCCTGTGATGTCACAGTGGTTGTGACAAACCTGTGACACTCACATCATAGAACAGGAATCTGAGTGTGTACTTGTGTTGTCTTGCTACTTCCTCCTGCAAAATCCTACCTACTCCATCTAGGCTCCCAACCCATTGGACAGTACCACCCACATTCAAGGCAGGTCTCAATCCGTTAGTTAATTCTCTCTGAAAGCCCTCGTGAACACATTCAGAATTGTTCTTTGGTAATCTAGGCATCTCTCAATCCAGTCAAGCTGACAGTCAAGTCTGGGGGGTGGAGGGATGCCACTAGTATATGTGCACGTGTGGTACAAGGTACACATACATGTGTATGTGGGCATACAAAGACTAGAGGTCAACCTTGGGTGTCTTTTATCATCCTGTACCTAATTATTTTGAGACAGGCGCTCTTAATGAGCCTGGAGCTCACCTTAAGGCAATACCAGTTGGCCAATGAGCTTCAGGATCCATCTGTGTCCTTCTGTCCACCTCCTGCCCTTAACTCTAGTTTCTTGGGTTTTAGACATGCACAGTATATCCAGCTTTTTTGCATAGTCTAGGGTTCCAAACTCTGATACCTCCTCAGGCTTAAGGGTCAGCACTTTACTGAGTTATCTCCACTGCCCAACAATCAAGAGTAACCGCCACATTTGTGCATTCTGATTTCCAAAGCATCTCAACAAATTGCTCTCTCAACTCTGAGTCTTGTTAAAGACAAATGTCAACTTGACCGCTAAGCAAAAAACCATCTTTCATGGCATATTTCAATATTCGTTTGTTGAATCTTCTCCTGCTGCTGCATTTTCTGGTTCTGCCACACGAGAGTGCAGTGTTGGTGAGACACCCTGTGGAGTTATAAATATCTCATGACTCATTTGAACAGCCCGTTTTGAAATGGTGTCCCTTCATTTTCTGTTTAGGAAGAAAAGAAAAAATAGCTTCAACATATGGCAACAACAGTATTTTCTAATATTCTAGGTTATTCTAATCTTTCTAATTATAACTTTCAGTTTACAATTTAAAAAAAATCAGTATCTTACCAGCAAATACTATCATTTAAAACAGAATTTGACTTACTCAAAATTCATATGATCTCAGCTCCAGAAACTCCTGAGCTTTAGACAGGGATGACTGCTTACACTGAGTCCTAGAGAACAGAGCAGCAGGTCAACCTTGGTCATTACTTGCAAGTAGAAAGAACTGGCTTAGTGACTACCATGTTGTCTACCTAGGCCTGGGCTTTCCTGATGTAATAGTGATAGTGACAGGCAATAAGAAAAACCCAACATAATCCAGACCATGCATGTAGCCAGGAAGGAAGAGGATGCTACCCAAGGAGTAGAAGAAGGAGAGCTGGGCAGCCCAAGCAGAAGAGATGCTCTACAAGTCCCTCTGGGAAGTCCCCCACCCCTCCAAATGAGCCCTCAAGGAAGATTGGCCCACCTTCTTGCTACACAGGTTGTTAGGCAGGGGCACCTGGTGCTCCATCAAAGTCCTTTCCTGTGAATTAAGGCTGGAGCCCAAAGATCAGGCTCTATTAGGGGAGTCATTGATTCACCATGTGGGAGAGAAGAGTGAGTAACAAAAATGGAAGACACAGGAAAAATGGAAGGGAATCAGCAAGCTGTAGAAGGGAAAAGGTGCCAAAGGCTAAACATTCTGACGGATCTGCCTCCAGGTGTGGAGATTCCTGGGAGTCCATCTCATGCCCACTTCACAGCACCCCACTGTCTCTTGTTAAAATTGTACATCTACCACTGGCAATGAAAGGTATTCCAGCACTTTATACTACCTCAACTCAGAACAAACAACAGCAAAGAACTTGTTGCACTGTCAAACTGGTGCGATTTGATATCAGTCTTCCTGGCTATCTCTGAGCTCCACCGATTGCCAAGTACCTCTCATGTCTGTCTCCACATCTATAAAAATGACATATTAATAGTTACTTGGACCACAATGTTGTGGCTAAAGAAACTGAGAGCCCTCTTTCCCTGCCAGGGATCACTGTTCCAATTTGTTACAAGAGCCATGTGGGGGGGGCTGCAAAGATGGTTTACTAGTTAAAAACACTTGCTGTTCTTGCAAAGGACCTGGGTTCGGTTTCCAGCACCTGCATGGTGGCTTGTGACTATCTATAACTCCTGCTCCAGGGGAACCAACGCTGTCCTGACCTCCAAGGGCACCAGGCGCGAACATGGTGCACATATATACATACAGGCAAACCACTCATACACATCAAATAAGTAAATGTAAAAATTAAAGAAGCAGCCAACATACAGAGGAGATAACAAGACCCCTCCAAGAGGGCGGCATGTCACCAATTGCTGATAACACCATCTTGGCTTGTTTTTAGATATAAAATCTGCAAGCCAAAGCACCGGTATACACTTGTCATCCCAGCACTTGAAGGTGGATCCATGAGGAATACAAGTCCTGGGCCAGCCTGAGCTACAGATTGAGACTCTGTCTCAACAGCAACAATAAACAAGTACACAGTCTGTTAATAGAAATTTGGACATGAGTTTCAGGACATGAGTTCCATGTGCAAGGATTCTTCATGATGAAAATGTCTTGCTTTTTTCAGGCATCTGTGAAATCAGTAGTCTTAGAGACAATAAAAGAAAACAGAGGGAGTGGAAAAGCCAAGTGATGAATGCCTGTAAGAGAGCCCCATTATTGATGTGGAGGCATGTCTTGATGTGTCTAAAACTCTGGGTAAGTTGGTTTCTTGGCAAACAGGAGGTTTCTCTAACAGCCCCTAGGGCTGAGCAGTACATAATTACTACAGTAACACAGTTTCCTTCATTTGTTTCCATTTGGGGTGATATATTTTGAAGAAGAGTTGAAAAGAAATGAAAATAAAGATGAAGAATTAAAAATATAGAGAGTGCCAGGCATGGTGGTGCAGACATTTAATCCTGGCACTCCAGAGGCAGAGGCAAGATTTCCAGGTTCGAGGTTAGATTAGGCTAGATCGTGAGTTCCAGCCCAGCCAAGGTTATGTAGTGAGACCTTGCACCAACACAAACAAGCACAAAATCTCCTCCCTCCCTCTCCCTCTCTCTCTCTCCTCTCTCTCTCTCTCTTTCTCTCTCTCTCTCTCTCTCTCTCTCTCTCTCTCTCTCTCTCTCTCTCTCTCTCTCTGTGTGTGTGTGTGTGTGTGTGTGTTTAGGATGAAAGAGGAATAAAAGGGAACAGAAGAGAGTGGACGCTCTAGGAACTTATTGCCATCATATGCTACATTCCATAAAAATTTACAATCAGGTCTCAATCAGGTCTCCTCTAAACAGAACTTCCAGGAACCAGGACCCATACCCGGAAGATCTTTATCTCCCCAGAGTGGCTCATCCCTAAGCTTGACCTACACTGGGAGTGAACTATTTTCATTTGCTGATGAAAAGACAAAGGGAATTAAGACAACAGAAAGATCAAGGAAAACAGCAACTAAGGCTGAAGGCTGACCTGGAACTCTTCCAGGTTGGAGAGTAGGTGACAGACTCCACAGTTAGGATGAGGCATCACACTCCTAGCATGACAGTCATTACCATCTTTATCAGAAGCAACTATGGCTACTTATGAGCATCCTTCAAGATGACATTTGGCATTCCCTTATAGATTGAGGGGGAGGGCAAAGTCTGCAGACCCTCCCCAGAGCTCTCAGGCACTCCCTGGTGCAATTTTCTGCCAGCTATATTCAGTTGTGCCTCAGATGCACATGGACTTGGGAGGTGATACACAGAGTACAGAATGGTAACTGGAGGGGATCTTCATCTATGCAGTTCTGGGGAAGTCAACCTTATGGGGACTTCCCAGAAGTCATTGTTTCCAGTAATATAGCTGTTTTAGGGTCATCTATACTCCTGTATATAACTCCTCACCCATGCTCTGTAAGCAAACCCAATAAACTCACTAGTTCACCAAGCTGGGTTTAGGTAGAATCATTACCAAATGATTCTGTCATGGGTACCCTATCTGGGGGAGTAGCCACTTGTTGGTGTCTGCCTAGGGAAAGTCACACAGCACTTCGGATGAGAAAATGAGCATCTCCTGCAAGTTCTCAGCAGTAGAAATGATCCCACTGAAAACCCATTATGCAAAAGCAGGTAGTGCTTTGTCTCAGTGAAAGCAGACTTTCCACAAAGTGCTTTAGTAAGTGACGTTCCTTCCGCTCCTATGAGCAAATTGGTGCTGATTATCTTGTTGCTACAAGAGCTGGGAGATATTTGCTATTCTGCTTATACCAATTATGGGCAGTCAGAATCCATTTTACACATGCTGTTTTTCAGCAAAGCGTGCTGAATCCTGCAGACACTCAGTATTTACCAGAACAGAGAGAAATCTCTTCCGATCTGTTATGAGCCACCGGAAGATTCTGACAGCCTCATTTCCTGTTGCTTTCTGTTATTCATTTCTGGTCTGTTTGTTTCCCATAGAGCCTGCAAATGCACCAAGGCCTCCCATCACTGCCTGCTGCCTATCTGTCAGGATGCCCTCTCTACTGGCTAATTTGTAGATGAATCACAAATTACTTAAGTTTGTTTTCTAGCCCTGCATAGTGGCACATTCTTTCAATTTCACCACTCAGGAGGCAGAGGCAGGCTGAGCTCTGTAAATTCAGAACCAGCTTGGTTAACATTGAGTTCTAGGACAGCCAAAGCTACATAGTGAGACCCTGTCTCTAAAAACAAAATAACATTTGTTTGCTTTATGGGTGGGTCCCAGCTAAGTTGAGCTGCAATGCCAGTTGGACAAGAGGTCACGTGGGAGAGTGGTTATGGACACAGTACTGGCATCCAGCTGCCTATATTTGAACCCAGATCTAAGCAGTCTTCTCCAAGCAAGCACTTAACACATAAGATCTATGGCATATGCTACTTTTACTATGAGCAACTGACAATGAATCTACAATAATTTAGCCAATCTCTTCAAGTTGAAAAAAATCTCTTTACACTATTATTAGCAATGCTATGACAAACATTTTTGCATATGGTTATGCATCAAAATATTATTTGACATAACTTCAAGTGGACGGTGGTTGGGCAAACATACCAATTACATTTTGATTATATTCTTGTCAGAAGATTATCATGATTAGTTGTCAAGATTTGATGCCATGGTCTTTTACAGTTGATGTCACTGTAACTTCTGGACCTGCTTCTTCATTTACTTCTATGTAGGAGGAAACAACTTACATCTGATTCCCCAGGCTCCTTTTAATGCCTCCAGAGCAACTATTGGTGTTTCCGTATTACAGGTCTAGAATCTTCTCCCCTCCACCTCCCATCTCCAAGAGAATGCCCACACCTCCTGTACACCCCACCAAACCTCCCCACTCCCTGGGGCCTCAAGTCTCTCCAGGGTTAGGTGCATGTGATCTTCTTACTCCAAAATTCTCTGACATTCCATTCCCCTTCTGTGACCTTCTACTTTGTGTGGCTCCATAACTTTTTAATCAAATTTTATTTACTGTATGTGCACATTCATCTGTATTGTGTATATATGTGTAGATGAGTGCCCCGGTGTGTATATATTCGTGGGGGTCAGAGGGAACTGGCAGGAGTCAATTATTTCCTTGTACTGTATGTGTCCCAGGACTTGAACTCCGGGCATCAGGCTTGGCAACAATTGCCCTTACCTGCTGAGCCAATCTTACTAACCTGTCAAAAGCAACTTACTCATTAGGCTATTAAAGGCAATGACAATTCTGAACCAAGTTTTCTGCACCAAGTTTTCTGTTTGAGTGAGGTCATCAACCAAAGCCATCTATCTTAGTCAGGATTTCTATTCCTGCACAAAACTTCATGACCAAAAAGCAAGTTGGGGAGGAAAGGGTTTATTCAGCTTACACTTTTGTATTGCTATTCATCACCAAAGGAAGACAGGTACTCACACAGGGTAGGAACTTGGAGGCAGGAGCTGATGCAGAGGCCATGGAGGGGTGCTGCTTACTGGTTTGCTTCCCATGGCTTGCTCATCTTGCTTTCTTATAGAACCCAAGACTACCAGCCCAGGGATGGCACCACCTACAGTGGACTCCCACCTTGATTACTAATTGAGAAAATGTCTTACAGCTGGATCTCATGGAGGCATTTCCTCACGGGAGGCTCCTTTCTCTGTGATAACTCCAGCTTGTGTCAAGTTGACACACAAAACCAGCCAGTACACCATCTTTCTAAGTGTCCGTGTGTCATCAGTTTCTCCCTTCTAAGTTCTACTAGTATTGGATTGCCTGCTGAGGCTTCCAGGAGCCGAATGAAGAACAGAATCTGATTCCTTGTTCACAGTTTTTACTTGCTCTTATTTTTGTCCATCTCTTTCTCTGGTGGTAGTTCTAGGGACAGAGACACATGATTATATATAGTCTCAGCTATTCCAGAGGGCAGATACAAGAATATTTGGTAGAATGTAACCTGTAGAGAGAATGCTAAAGAAGGGGGGTTTCTAGAAGACAGCTTAAACTCCTGCTCCTAACTTTCTACAGCTCGAGGAGCTACTGTGAAACTGTGGCCCAACGTTCATAGCAAAACTTAAACTTTCTTAAGAGAAATCCTTGAGATCATGTCTGGGAGCTTGGACAGTTGCCAAAAAGGAGCCAGACATGAAACAACTGTCTTAGGTTTTTGTTGTTGGTTGGTTTTTTGGTGACAGGTTCTGGCTATCACAGAACTCGCCATGCAGACCAAGCTTGCCTCAGATCACAAGAGACCCACTTGCCTCTGCCTCCTGAGTGAGCCATCAAGCCCAGCTTTTAGTTTGTTAATCAAGAAAAAGATGCACAGGCTCGCCTACAGGCCAGTCTTGTGGAGATATTTTCTTAGAGGAGGTTCCCTCTTCCTAGGCTGTGTCAGGTTAAAAGAAAACAAACAACAAACAGAA